TATATATATATATATATATATATATATGTAGATATAGATAGATATAGATATTTAAAAAATGTTAATATATAATTTAGTACATAACCATTTTTTGTTGGTTTTTGTTTTTAACAAAACATAACAATAAATTCAGGGTGATCATGAAAGCAAGGCCTTTAAAATGTAGAAAAAATACACAAATGAGAAAAATGCTGAAAGTAGTCTTGATTGATTGAACTATTGGATAAAATCATTGATTATTCTTCATGTAGCTATTTAAAACATTTAAATGCACAAAAAGGGGCATTTTCTTCAGAGGGTGGATTAGATTAGGTTAGTTTGTTAATTATTAAAATATTTTTGTCTTTTTCTGTCAGGCTCGTTTCAGAAGACAATTTCAGGTCATTGTTCTCCATTTTTCAGGGTATGAGCCATTGTACCTCAATGATATCCGTCTCCATAGAAACCAGGCGGGTCTGTAAAGGGCACAATAGATTTCTGTCCCAGACTGGGGCCATAGAGGAACTAGGCCTACAGCAATAATGGAAATACAAAGCACAGTTTGTCTGCTACACGAGCTGCTCTCTTAAGCTTTTTGTGTAAGCACCCCTAATATATATTACACTGTGTATATTTGGAATGCTACTTCAGAAGTTTTAGTTGCTGTGTAGTTAAATGTTTGGAGTGAGCAATAACCTCTGGGTTACATTTTGGTGACGGAATATATTTAGCTATGTGAATGGCATTAATAATGATAATATAATTAGATATGAATACACACTATCTAAAGTACATTCAGCCTGAGCATGGGACAAGGCAAAAACCCAAGTAGGCATATACCTATGATCCTTTTTTAATCATGTTTATAAAGCAGTTAAAACTATAACTTACAAGCTGAAAGTAAGACTGTTTTTATTTTTGCCTTGATCACACAAATTAATTTGGCAAACATTACTTCCCTCCAAAAGCTTTCATAAAAAAACTTTTGTTGTATTTCATATTGCAGAAGATATAACACACATTGCAGCAATGACAAGTATTAGTAGCCTACAGAAGTATGAGGAATCAAAGTAAACTGTACTAAATGAGGGTTAGTGATCAATAAAGACAGTATTCTCAGGTGAAGCCTATCACAGATGCACCCTGTAAATGTTTTTATCATAACAATAACAACAGGGCAACCATTATCCAAATGCTTCCATATCATAATATTACAGTAGGATAATGGTTAATCTAACATAAAAAGACCATCAGTATCAAACAGTGACACTAAAACACTTTTACTGCTAAATTAAAACAATAGTTGGCATTATTCTAATAAATACAATTATTCAGAAACAGTTTTTTTCTTATTCATATAAAAATGCATGACTGGAAATCAAGAACTCTGCTTCAAAACAATAAATAAAACAGTTGCACATTTTTTATAATAAGGTGACTACATATCTTTACAGAGATGTAACAAAATGATAAACATTAATAGAATAAAAACAAACCTAAATATACCTATCAGTCTTTATCAGTCATGGCCATAACAACATGTCCTAGTTGCAACCACTTTATTTTTTCCAAGTATAGCATAGTTATTAATTTATTGATTGCAGACCAGTAAAAAATCAATATTTGAATCATTATTTTCATAAAACAACTTAAGTTTTTTTTGTTTTTAATAAAAGGTGTTATGTTCGGTCTTTTATTGGTGGATGGTTGGATCAAGCAGTTTCCTCTCCAGGTAAAAAGGTTTAATTAAAACTGGTACTTTTGGCTGCACTGGCAGCAGCTATATGTGTTTATTCAGTGCTCAGAATCAGTACTTGACACCATGGACTTCCTCAATTTTAGTCGGTGCCACAAATGCATGTTGATGATTGTTATTTTTGGAGCCCCATGACCCGGATTATCTAAAAAACTAGTAATGTCTCAAGCAAAAAAGGGGAGAAAAAAAAAGATTTTGGAAAGGGCTTGGTCAGAGTGGAAAAAAAAAAAATCAGAGATGTTACAAGCTTTTTGTAGCCTACCTAAATGTCTTCAGACGAGGCTGAATTAAAGTTATCCCTGAAAAGATTCCTGACAATAAATAGATAATCTAAAAAAAATATTGTCACAAACAATAACAAGCAAAATGAATATTTTATCTCAGTGTCATTCGAATTGAGCGACTTATTTTGATATGTGGTCAAAAGCAGTTGCTGACTATTTTATACAAGCAATTGTATAAAATAGTGAGTTACAACTCCATACAATAGGAGGAGGGTCCAGGCCTGTCTATCAGTGAGATTATCTACTGTAGCGCTGCTGTGTAGACTGTGACCCCCTCAGTTGGGGCTGTGGGCAGACCAGCTGGACAGGGTGGGCTGCTTTTCTTCTGTTGTGCTTAGGAAAAACGGACATAATCCTTCATATACTCATAAAAACAACAAGGAATAGAAGACAGAAGTCATTTTACTGCTGGAGAACTATGGTGAAACAGCGGCGGGTCAGAGGGGCCCCCTGCTGTGCAGCTGTTTGTTGCAGAAGAGGATCATGGAGGGTGAGAGGACCTTATTTCTGTTATTATTAATAAACATTGTGACATATTATCAGTCTTAATAAAAAAAACTGCTTCATTGTTCGATGCTTTTAGAGACAGGAAAGTCATCTATGGAGAATAAAGAACATAAACGTTTATAAGTGTTTATTTTTATAAGAGTGTTCCTCATAATAGAGAACCTTATTTCATGAAATCATTTTAAAGGAACTTAAACATGTATTTTACACTTGACCTAAATCTTAAGCGTTCAATTGTTTTGTTTGTAACGTTATAACGCTTCACTCCACCAATCCCCAGAGTTCCTGCTGCTGGAGCGCGCGCTGATTGGTCCAACATGGGACGTCTCGCGCCTCTCCTCCGTCACCATAGAAATAGCGCAGATTGTCTACAAAGACAGACGCTCGTTTGCTAATTTTAATCGAATGTCTCTCAAGAAATGTAATCCTCCGGTTTCATGTTGCCGATTTAAAAAAAAAACATTGTAATTATAACTGATTTAAATGTTTTAATCTATTTGCAAAATGTTTAGGCAAAATTCTTTCTGATAACAACAATAAATATAAAAGGAACGAAGTGAGACCTCTTCCGTGCTGCTTTGTCTGCAGCAGTGAGACAGTAGGTGCGCCCTATTTATAAACCGGAGAGGCAATTTGGTTATAATAACTGTCTGATATACGCACATAACATACAAATCATAGGATTCTTATTCAGTTATAATGAGCATAAATCAAAGATTAACTTATAACTTATTTTTGTGGATGTTTTATAGGGGGAAAAACACAAAAGCAAAATAAAACACTGCATCAAAATGGGTCAAGTGCAGTGATGCCAGTAGTACACACATTTGTTACTTAAGCAGAAGTATAGATACTGCAGTTTAAAAACACTCTGGTAAAAGTTGAAGTATCAACCTTGACCTATTTACTCAAGTAAAAGTGAAAAAGTATGTGCTCCATGAACTAATGAAAGTATAAAAGTATAAAGCACCCTTTAAAAAAAAACAAAAAAAAAACGGCCAAATGCCACTATATGAATTGAAAGCTTAATTTTACAACTATTTTGAAAAATTATTTGAGATAGGGCCAATGATGAGGGAGGTCTTGTTGGTCTACATCTCCCGATACGCTCTCACCTGTGTACGACCTTTCAGACATTTCAACATCTTTTTCTGAATCCAACATTGTAGCATGGCATAGACAATTCACGTTTACAGTTTAAAGAACACCTGCTTGCTTCTGATGATTTCCTTTAGCTAACCATTGAGTGTTTGCGTTATATGACTCATCCAATTACCCTAGTTTTCACTAGATGTGGATGTCGCATATGATCTGTATTGGATGGCGTACATGATGTGAAATAAATATTTGTAAACATAAACTAAAGCCAAGAATAATGAGTAACATTGTTTTAAAAATGTAAGGAATAGAAAGCGTGGATACCTATGTGAAAATATAATGAGTAGAAGTCAGAAATAGGAAGAAAAATAATATATAGTATAGATACCTAAAAAATTTACTTAAGTACACTAACTAAGTATTTGTACTTCATTACTTGACGCCTCTGGTCAAGTGGAACATTAAAAACTAATATTGCCTACTCTATTGCAAAGTAGGGGTGGTGCTGACTATTGACTTTTAGGAACACCAAAAAATGATGTCAATACAACTATTTCAGGTTGTGTATTCTATTCTAGCAACTACTGTGTAATAAACTCAACATAAATAATAAACTAAACTACACCAACAGCTCTACTCTAACTTCCTTCTGCCATTCCTTAAAAAATAACTCCTCGTCACATTTAACTAGGTCACCCTCCGGCTGACTGTAAAGGATTACACCCTGTGAGAAAAAGGGCAGGGAGGAGGAGGAGGAGGGAGTGGGAGAACAGAGGGAGCAGAGAGTGGGCGGGGAAAACAGAGGAGACAGAGTGGCCAGAAGAGAAGCATCTCCTCATTGATGCTGAGTCAGAAAACAGCTAGAAATCAGCTGCATCCCATGAGGCTTTGGGGAAAATGGAGGAGCTAGAACACACCTGCCCTCATCCTCGGACGGTAGGGTGGCTGTGTATTACTGTTTGGTTCTCCATCAGTGTGAGGAGACAGGGAAGACTGATTATATGTGTAGGTGTGTGTGTATGAAAGAGGGAGGAACGGAGACAGGAAGTAGAGGGGAAACAAAAGGGTCCTCCTTTATTCCCTGTTATGAAACATATCCTAGATGTATGTGCATGAGGGAGATGCTCAGAGTGCCGAGTGGACAGTCCTTGTTGTTGCTGAGGGGTGTCTGCCAAATCAAGAGGAATGCCCTGCTGAGTGATGACTGTCGCAGTGAGATCGTAGAGCCACCCGTGTTTGGATCCTCTGCCTTAATACTCCTTGATACAAATCACCTTTTCAGTCCTTTTGTCTTCCCAAACCTTCATACCCCCATATCTTCTCCTCATCTTATATTATTGTAGGCAGCCTCTCTCTTTGCTGCCTGTGTTATTGCATGGCCAGTTTTTCTACAGCTTTAATCCTTCTTTATGCCAGATGTCCTATCTCGTGCCAGATCGGGCTTTAGAACGAGCACGCTCCGGCCACACGCCCTGATAGGCCTCTGCATACTCCTGATCACAAAGTTTAACCTTGGCCATCTGCTCTCTGTTAACTCAACAGTATCACTGTGCTGGAGGAATCAGAGGTAATAATGCCTCCTCCTGAAGGGATAATAGCTGCTGCTGACTGACCTCTGAGCTTTTTACTTTAAATCACATACAGAACAATATTAAAATAAATGTATCATTCATAGCAATATGACATTCCTAAGATAAACAAATGTGGGGGGAAAAATCCATCCTATTTAATATAATTAAGTGTATTAGTTGTGCTAAAACATAATGAACAGTTGTTAAATATGGCGAGAAATCTATTATGCTGTGGGCTGTTCTCTCCTCTAAAAAGCTATATCAGGGTACATCATGAGTTCTTTGTAATGCTAGCACATTTTTAATGATGATTTTTTTTTTGCTTTGTTTAGGACACTGAAAACAAGTCTTTGGTGGATCTTCCAGTAGAATAAAGATCCAAAACATGAAGCTAATTACACAGAGACGCAGAATAAACCGTCCTCTGAAATAATCATAAATTAACTCAAAAGAAGATTTTTGGACTAGGTAAAGAGCTTGAAATTTCAACCATTTGAAAGTCTACAGTCTTGTCCTATTGGCTAGAAGAGAAACACCAGCGTGGATAGTTGCCCATAAGTTATAGGTGTACCTCTAAAAGTATTTATAAAGGAGGGAAAGGATGCACAAAACATGTAGATAAGCTTCAGTTCGACACAAATGGAAAATTATTTGAATTAATCTATATTGTAATTATTATACATTAGACAGTATCGTTTACATACTGGTACAGGAGGATTTCTGCATCTCTTGCATGTATAGATAGCCGGAAAAGCCTCACAGTTTCTGTGTGATTTAAAGTCTATTAAAACTCCAAGAGACAAATTCTGTTTTCCTGAAACCTGTCACCATTTCAGACTCTATTTTCGCCTCTGCTCCTGTAGGAAGTGCTGACGTCAGGGGCCTGACTGAACCTGTTTATATGCTCTCTTCCTCCTCTCACACTCCTCCGGCTTTCTGCTCCGTGCTGTTTCTCTTTGAGGGTGCGAATGAGAATGGGTGAATATTCCCAGCAGTCAACAGATGGCACACAAAACACAGGTTTCCAGGAGGGGATGAAACTGCAACACTTTGACCTTGATGAGATTCTTGGCACAGCCAGATAAATACCTTTCTTACCTGTTTCCTGCTGCAGAATCAGGGTGAACCAAAGCTTTTTTGTCCCTTCAGCACCATGCTAAGTTACATACACGTCCTGTCATTATTTGCAGTACATGCAGAGAGGTGAAAGTCAGTGATCAATAGCACTGAGTACAGCTCTTTCTGCCTTGCTGTTGTCTCAGGGAGCAGAGTGAGCTTCAGCCGTTGTCAATACCTTAATTGCGGTTACTGTAAGTGGGAGACAAGTGGCAAACGGCCGTGCTCCAGGTTCTTCCTCTGACCCAGTCCCTTTCTGTCTCAGACTCTGACCGAGCCTGCCATCTTTGCTGCGGAGACCAGCTGCGACTGCAGCGCACCTCATGAGAAGCTCAGCATCGCACAAGCACGCAGAGGGACCCCAGGTATCCATTCATCTTCACCTTGATCCTGCTCGGTGTTCCCATTCCTCACTTTATCTCTTTGTGATATTCTCCCCTTTCTGAAGATTATATTTCATCAGCCGTATTCCTCCATAGAGAGTTCAGTGCAAAAGTATTCACACCTCTTTTTTTAGATTTTCTTACCTTGTAAACCAACTACTTCTGTTCTTTTGTGCTTTGGTTCCATGACTGCCTTGTTTATGACCAGAGATATCTCTAAATATGTATGACACTATATTAATACTGTCCATTTAGTTTCTCTTGAGGATTTTAGGATCTAAAATAAACCAAATACATTAAGTGGAAGGGTCTGACTTGCTGTGCACCGTTTAAAATCTCTATCTCAGTTTAATTAACTCCAAATTAATTCAGTTATGGAAAGACTTTATTAAGTTTTTATAGTTAAGTTACAGTTTTTAGGTCACAGCATTAAATTATGAGCCAACAATGAGTAACTAGAGAGTAGATGCAATTATGATTTTTTTTATTTAATTTATTTAATAGTTGACCACATATTTAACATTTATATCTTCGGCTTTAAATGCTTTTTATTTTTTTTACACATGACTTTTAGAGAGGAGTGACCTCTGTTTGACTACTTGATAAAAATACTTGGATTACTGCTTTTTCTGCAAGGGTCCTGCTTCACTGCACTGGAACATTGGGTTTTATTCATACTGACTGACCAAAGCTTTTTTCCTGATTAGTCAGTTTAGCAGCTCCATGAAACCTGGACGTTTTTCCAGAGTTATTCTATTTCAGGCAGCTTAAGATGTTTTTTTTCCTTATCCGATGTAAGTCTCTTATCCTTCAGGTGTAGCAGGGTTATAACCAGCGCTGACTTGCAGACGTAAAATTTTGGAAAACTCTAGTATTTTTATTTTGACCAGCTGTTGTCAACTGAAGTAGAAAAAGTTCCCTAATCTGTTAAAGCTTCATTCTTGGTTAAAACTTTTAGGATTGATGGAAATCGTGGTTTTCTACAAATTGACCACTAGGTTTTTATGGTTAAGACTGAATTCATCTTGATATTTCACTAATTCTAAAATTTGTAATCAGATAATAATGTGACCATAGATAAGAAAGGTAATTTAGGATAGGTTAGCAGAATCACTAAACCTTATTTGGATTGTGTTTTAGCCCTACAATAAAAAGATCAGTACAATCCTTCTTCTATGATCTTATCAGAGAGGTCGGCTGTTATCATTGTCATTCGGATTTAATTGGAACTCTAAACTCTTTAACAGGAGATCTCCTTTTCTTAACCACCTTTATCTCCTGGGAAACATGTGCTGTCCTCCTCAGCTTCCCCTCTCTCTGTGTCATACCAATACAAAATCCTGCCTCTTCTAACAAGCAACTGTTTCATTTACTTTTCTGTATTATCTGTATTTTTAAAAAAAATAGATAAATTAAACTTTATTGATCTCACAATGGAGAAACTAAACTTTCTGCATTCAACCCATCCCCTTTGGGAACAGTGTGCCACGCACAGGGAGCAATCAGGGGTTAAGGGTCTTGCTCAGAGCGCCAGAGTGGCAGTGTGTGGGAGTGGGTTTCAAACCCACAACCTTAGGATTCCAAGCCCTATGCCCTAAGCACTAGGCTGCCACTCCCATGTCATGTTTTTCATGCTTATCATGCTTTTATCTTTATTTCCTTTTATTCTGCTTTTATGTTTTTCAGTTTTATTGTCTAACTCATGTAAAGCACTTTGAACTGTCTTTGTACTGGATTGTGATATACAAATAAACTTGTCTTCCTTAAGATGTACGAATATTTCTTTAATTATCTGTATCAATCACTAATGTTTTATTTGGATGCAATTTATGGAAAGGACTGTGATTTTTACAGTTAAAACTTTCAAACTAACTGACTTGCAATGATCCAGCACACTGTGTCTAACTCTGTGTCATAGAAAGAAATCTGATAATGCAATGAAATCCATCACTGGTCATCGGAAAACTGGAAGTTTGTGTCTTTCACATTTAAAGATTTTTCTGATAATAATAATACCATGGTTGACCTATGATTATTTCTCAAAAAAAAAAAAAAAAATTATCTAGGAAAAAGAAAGCAGAATAAAAGGATTGCAGCCTTTAAGCAATATGACAAGAATGAGTCACAATCACTCAGGGTTTGGTACTGAATCTGCAATCCAGAAGATTTCAGAAATCTTAAAACTTAGCATAAACTTGATAGATATAAAAAAAAAAATGAAACTTATAAAATATTTATTACTGAACTCCGAGAAAGCATAGATATATCTGAAAAAAAAGATCTAAGCTGCAAACTTTGTAATAATTTTTTTAAGATTCCTTAATTATAATTCTATATTTTCTTATTTTTTGAGTCTTCATTAGCTTCAGACAAACACGCTTCTTCTGTATATCTGCAAATTGAATGTTATTTACTTTCAGTCGACCGGCCAGTCAGAGTCTACGCAGATGGCATCTTTGACCTGTTCCACTCAGGCCATGCTCGGGCCCTCATGCAGGCCAAGAACCTGTTTCCAAACACCTATCTCATAGTAGGAGGTAAGACGGGGCCACAGACCCAAATTTGACAAACAGACTAATTTCGATCCATGTTTATCTCTGTGTTCCTGTGAATTCTCTCCATTTCTCATGCAACAGTGTGCAGCGATGAGCTGACTCATAAGTACAAGGGCTTCACAGTCATGACGGAGCACGAACGTTACGAAGCCCTGAGGCACTGCCGCTACGTGGACGAAGTTCTTAGAGATGCACCGTGGACGCTCACGCCAGAGTTCCTTGAGAAACACAAGGTGCATTTGTGAGCTTAGGCTTTAAAACAATCAGTTTTCATGAAAGAAAAAAAAAAAAACTTGACCAGAAGTAATTTTATTCGCAAACATTTCAATTTAGTTTATTTTAACTTTATCTGATCTATTGCTTTTCCTTAGCTGGAAAGTTAATTTAATTGTTAATTTAGATTTAGCTGGTGTAGTTCATTCTATATTCATTCATCTTTCTCTGTGTTTAGGTACTTTATATTGGCAATTAGTTGTTTTTTTTTTTAATCATTGATACAGACCAGTTAAAACAGTTTGGTAGAGTCAGTTAAAAGCTTACTAAAAAGATGCATAACAACAGTCCTCACCAAAGACAGAGCTCTTTAAGCACGATTCAGGAGGACTGCTATTGATGAGTGAAAAGAGATACTTATGACTAAAATCCTCTCATGTCTAACTTCCAGTGGTGGATGAAGTACTCAGCAGTAGTACTTGAGTCAAAGTATTGATACTCATACTCAAAACGTACTTAAGTAAAAGTTAAAGTTACTAGACCTGAGTAACTGATCAACATTGATCTTCACTGTGTTTCAATTATTCTAATATTTTTGTTGTGCTCTTTTCTCTTAATTCTGACCTTCCAAAAATATGGTTAATGCTTCATATAGTACTTCTACAGTGTACATGTGTTGCTACATGGAAAGAGTGGGTGGTGTGGGTGTTTTTTTTTTTTTGTCTCGTTTTGTTTTGTTTTTTTCTTTAGGTTTCAAAAATAAGAAAAAAACCATGGTACATTGGAAGTAGATTTTATTTGGACATATGTTCTGAATGAATATATATATATATATATATAGCCTATACAAAAAAAAGAAAAAGTTACTCAGTCAAACATCTACTCAAGTTAGAGTATTAAAGTAGGGCCTACTCGTTTTTGAAACTACTACAAATGTAATTTTCTAATATCAGTAAATTTCTGTTTATTTTCAGAGTAATTTTAACGAACCTTGTAGCTTTGAGAGACCACCTAATGTATTGGCACATAGAACCACCTGCTACAGATTCTACACCACCTGTAAAGAACTTTAGCATAAAATGCTACAAAAACTTGAAGAAAGCTATTTTAATTATTGTTTCTTATTTAAATCAGACCAAAATGTCTTGATTCTCCTCATACTATCACTATGAAAAGACATTTAATTTTAATCTGTTGCAACAAAGAAACCGCAACTCTGCTTTGAGAACTCATCCTACTGAACAACTTGGCCACATGGCAACAACTAACACCTTAATAAAAATTATAAGCTACAAATAGTGAGTTTCTCACATTTATCTCTAAGCAGTGGTGTCCAAATTCATTACTAAGGGTTGCTATTCTTTGCATATTGAAATTAAGTTTCAAGAAAGAAAAAGAGCAAGAGCGGATTACAAAGCTAGGCTGAGCCAAAAGGAACATATACCTAGCAGCTTCTAACCCCCAGAAAATTACTCAAGTAAAGATACTAAAAAAGTACAGTAATCAAGTAAATGTACTTTGTTACTTTTCACTACTGCCAACTTCAAATACACGCAGCACCTTGGAGAAGTGCTTATAGTCTCTGAATGGATGTATTTTGTTAGAATTTGAACACAAAGTAGTGGATAATTGTAAATTGGAAGAAAAACTTTTGCATTCAGCCCCCCACCTTTTAGCCTTTGCCGTCTCTATCTAGAAGCTAAGCCTTCGGTCTGTTGTTTAAAAAAAATGATTTAGGTTTAGTCAGACTGAATGAAGCTTTTCCATGAAAATCAATTTCCATGTTTGACAATTATAGAGGTGAAGAGGTTGGTGCCAGGGCTGGGCATAGGGAATGTTCCCCTATTTTTGGGCTGGCCCAAGACTGTCATAATGTAATTAAAAATGTTTTAATTTATGATAAGTTATTTAATGTTGGTATAACAAATATAAATTTACCAAATTAAAATGTAATTAAAGGATTTTTTTTAAAAACATTATATCCACCAAAACAGTGTTACACAGATACACAGTTGATTTTTTGTTTTCATTTTAAATGCATAACCCTTATTTTTACCAAATATTGTTTTTAAATATTTGATAGATTTATTTTCTCTATATATTTTCTTTTTAAACGGCTCAAATTGTGTATACTGTATGTCCCCTGTTAAGCTACGTGTATCCCCATAAAATATAGCTAATCATAGTTGGACGCAACAACCGAAAATGCCTGTGGGCGTTTTTATAGACCCGGTCCAGCCCCATTGGTGCCTGTTATTGAATGATAGTTGGATTTAGCTCTAGAATTCTACTGGCCCATTCAAACACATAACATAAACGTCGATGGTTATAACCAATTATTGCGGATTCACAGTAAAACACAGCTCAACCGGTAACATGTCTCCTTTTTTAACTAAAATACGACTTTCTTAGTGGAAAGCCATGTTTTATGTAAAGTCAAAAATAAATGATTGCTTCTGAGTGTATCCAGTTATCGAAGGAGACCAGGGAAGATGATCATGATGAAATGATAAAATTCTGCAAGAATGAAAACAAAGAGTGATCAAACCCTTCTGCTCTGATAATAAGGAGGTTAGCCGATCTGAATGTTTGTCAAAAAACAGGATAGCAGATGTAACTTTTCAATTAATAGATTGCTGTCGCGTTATATTTTGTGAAGGCGATTGATTGAATTGAATGTCATTAACAGTAAAGGAGGTTGAACAGATCATTTTCCTTCCACTTCCAAAATTTTCAATACTTGGTTGTGTATATCAGATAATTCCCAGTAGGATAAACTAAATGTGATGTTAAAATAATACTTTTGCAGATTGCTTCATGTTATGCAAAGCTAAAAAGCTCAGCTGCATGCCCACTTGACTTCTTCTCATGTTATTGATTTATTTTATGTGCCAGTGTTGTGTTTTCTGCCATACAGTATGTGTCCTTTGGTTGTTTTCCAGATCGATTTTGTGGCTCATGATGATATCCCGTACTCATCAGCGGGGACCGAGGACGTTTATAAACACATCAAAGAAGCAGGTCAGGCGGTTTATCTGCAGGGATCACAGCAATCATGTTCCACATTTCCTCCCTAAATGAGCCTGGTGCTGCAACAGCATTCTGTTTGTTCACCAGGGATGTTTGTCCCAACGCAAAGGACAGAGGGGATCTCAACCTCCGATATTATCACCAGAATTGTCCGAGACTATGATGTATACGCCCGACGTAACCTGCAACGCGGCTACACAGCTAAGGAGCTTAATGTTAGCTACATCAACGTAAGACCCCTTAGATCCTTTGCAGTGGCATCATATCAAAACCATGTCCTTATTCCTGATTTAGGAAGAGGGAAAAACACCAGTGAGGATTGGTTTGTGAGCAAGAAATTACATGAGCGTTTGTACTTAAAATGATTGGCACTCATTTGCTGTCACTTTTACAAGAGCGATAATTTGTAATGACTTTGGGTGTAATCTATATTTAGGCATATATACATAAAATCAGTCTAAAATCTTTTCATGGGGCTCACACTGCTCTATATCTATTCCTAAAAAAGAGGAGTGAACTTAAAAAACCATAAAGGTCAGGATTGAGTGCCCCTTCCCCAGCGACGCCTCCAGAAATGTTTCATAGGTGCCACCATAGTGCCACCCCAAGATCTTAAGTGGCCAGATAGGGCCACTAAAGATCTTGGGGTGGCACACTGAAACTAAAAGCCATCATTTCAGGGTTTTAATCTACTATTGTAGTAAACCTGTCTGTAGAAATCATAAAGACACCTACTCATATCTCGGTTTATTGTGTGATTTGTAATGTTACGTCGCTGTCTGTGCATAATGGGATGAAATACTACTACATATTTCACTGCCCTTCCCAACAATTTGCCCATTCATCAAAGTGCTTCTATCCAACAGATTAATTTAGCTACAATAACATAGAATTTTCTGGGAGATCAACATTTTTCAGTGAGTTTTCAGTCGACCCTTGGATCTGTTTCCCCAAAGGACTGAAAGTTGCTCATAGGAGGCACTTAGGAGGCATCTTGATTAGATTAAACCACCTAATCTGAGTCCTTTCATTTAGCCCTCTACTCTATATCTAAAGCTGTGTCCAGAAATTCTAAAAATGAAGCCTATTTCTATCATTTATATTCAGATCTCTTGCATAATATAGTTTCGGGCGACAGTGGCGTCGGAGGAAGAAGTTTGCCCTGCAACTGGAGGGTTGTTGATTCAAGCCACGGCTTCAGCTTTCAGTGTCGTTATGTCCTTGGGCAATACACTTCACCTGCATTGCCTACTGATGGTGGTCGAAGAGAATGGTGGCACCAGTGTATGGCAGCTTCGCTTCTGTCAGTGAGCCCAGCCCAATGTACAGTAGCTTACCACCATCAGTGTATGGGTGAATGACTGAATGTAGTCTAAAGTGCTTTGGTCAAGTCCTCTGACTTGAAAAAGGGCTGTATAAGTACAAGCCATTGACCAAAATCTGTATCTCATGATGATAAATGAGGTTCCATTTTTGGGCCAGCTCCTTATCCATAACAACAGACACGACTAGAGCCTCCATTTCTGCAGACAAACCTTCAGATCATCTATTTAACCCCCTGCCAGTGAGTCCAATGCAAATAAGAAGAATCAAACAATATTCCAGGATGTAAAGCCTGAATAGAACTTTTATTTCTGAGCTCAGTTAATTTAGGATAGAAGGACTAAATCGTGAAAGGTTTGTAGCTCTTCAAGCATTTATGTCTTTTCTAAACTTTTGATACATTTTTTTCTGATTTGTTTTTTTTTTTTTTGCCCCAAAGGAGAAAAAGTATCGACTACAGAACCAGGTAGATCGCATGAAGGAAAAGGTTCGAACTGTTGAAGAGAAGAGCAAACATTTCGTATACCGCGTGGAGGAGAAGAGCCACGATCTCATCCAGAAATGGGAAGAAAAATCTAGAGAGTTTATTGGCAACTTCCTAGAACTTTTTGGACCCGATGGGACATGGGTAAGTTAAGCTTGATACTGTGTGACATTATGCAAAAAGGGAGGCAGATATCCTCCAACTTACAGTATGGTAAACCAAAAAATAAAACCTTAATTTGTTGAGTTTAAACGCTTTGTTTCTTACTAATACTCATTGTCTTCTGCTTATCAGAGACATGGGGCAGCAGTCTCAGTAGAGACTCCCAGACTTCCTTCTCTCTGGGAGGCCAGCGGTGTCCCAGGGCCAGCCGAGCACTATGCAAAAACAGAGAACATGCATTTCTGATGTCCTGGCTAATTTCCTTTGAGTTCTCAATGAGGCCAAAAAAGGAAACATGTTTCTGTAGAATATTATAAAACATTTATCTTCACTGAACCTAAATGTTGTGAATTAATCTTTCAGAAGCAGAAAAAACAAAAAGCTATTTTTTTTTATTCTTTATGCTGCTCTAACAACACCAATTTTTATCTTACCAATATAGCTAACACTACTAGAGTCCTGCCTCCTCTTAGGGCAGAGCTCTGCCTCATTGTCCTTTTGTTAGCTGTAATGTTAGAAAACTAAATTGGGGCCCTTTAACTTAAACAAGTAAAGTCCAAATCAACTTATTCCCATCAGTGAAATGTTAAGGACAGAGGTGTCTATCTGCAGTCTTGATGCTTTGTTTGTTTAAGTGTGCAGGACACCAGTTTAGAGCACAATCCTGCTCTCCAGGAATATGCAAATTAAACCTAGTGTGTTGAACCAAGGAAACATCTTAAAAACGTGGTTTACCAGGAAATTTTTTACTTAAACAGCCTATTTGAAACAAACAGATAACCGAGGGGTATATACATATACATTTTTGTGTGCGTATAATTCTTACACTGCAAAAACTATCTAGAAATAAGCAAAATGTCTTAAGGTAAGTGTATTTTCCCTTAAATTAAGTAGGTAAATAAGGTGATTTTTGAGTATTTTTACTCTTAATATAAGATAATTAGATAATACCCACTTGAAATAAGGCAAAGAAAGTGTTTTTTTTTTTTTCTTATTTAAAAATTCAATTGTGTTGTTCCATTGGCAAAGTGTGTCACTTACCTCCTTTATTTAGGAAAAAAATGCCCTTATTTTGAGAAAGAAAATATATATGATAATTACCCAGACATTTTACAGCTAATCATAGAGCAGGTAATCGCCATGTATTGCTCTTAATATTCTTCTTCTTTTGCTTCTGAACAGAAACAAGTGTTCCAGGAACGCAGCGGCCGGATGCTGTCCTACGCTCTGTCGCCCAGAGAGTCGCCCTGCAACAGCCCTCCGCGTGAACTGTCCCCCCTGCGCTCCCCCTCCCCTCCATCGCCCCCTGCCCGCTGGTACAACGCCCGGCCCTCGCCCCCCAACTCCCCCAAAGGAGCCTCAGCCTTGATGAGCAGCATGAGTGAAGGCGACGAGGACGAGAAGTAGATGAAAAAAAGCAGAAACGTTTCACTTCACGGTACACTGCCTAGGAACACCTCACCAAAAAACACTTTTCTCCAAACGTCGGCTGGAAACAGAACCAGGTTTCCTTAAAGACGTTGCAGATTTGCAACGCTGACACTGATCAGTGGAATACAAAAAAAAGCCATGATTCTCTGGGGAGCAGAGCAGAGAGAGATGGAGGAAAGGGGAGGAAAAAGATGTGGATTTATTCTATGTATTCAGTGTCACTGTTTTTTATACAAGAACAAGAACTCTGTGCAATACCTGTAAAGAGGACTTTCTTTGGTTTGTCCAGAACCAATAGACACTGAAACCAATTGCTAACATCACTGGATTGTTTCTTGTCATGCTTTTTGTCCTTATTTTGTAAAATGCCAAGCTTCTTTACAAATTCCCTTTAACATACAAGTAGGCACTCATTTCAAGACACCTTTTCCCACAATGTTACATTGGAATAACAGAAAAAGACACTGCACACAACCCAGACACATTGTTATTGTTAGTTTAAACCATTTTTGTAAATAAAACAAACTGTACTAATAAGATAATTGTACTTTTTAAGTACTTGAAAAATAATTATTGCTCAAATTTAAAATCTATATAAAAATATATTAGAAAGCCTGCTAGATATGCATAAAAAAAGATAAATAAATCATGTATTTTATTTGCTTAATCTTACCCTTCAAAAAGCAAGGCAGTCCAGTCATTAATGTGCATACATTTATTCAGTGGGGAGCAAATCCTAAGTTAGGGAGAATCTGTTTTCAACAAAATCACAGCTGGCAATTTCTCTTATCCCGCTTGTCTTTCTACAACCGTGTTTCCAATACATACGCATGTATTCTTCTATACTGCTTCACAAGGCTGTAGGATACAGAAACAGTATGAGATCATTTCTCTTTCTGCAATCTCTTTATATCATCCAGAGCCCTGGCTCCTATTTAATGTTCTATTTTTTTCAGCTAACTACACAGGTTTTCTATAGGCTTTTTATGCATAGGCAGTGAGATGAGCATAAAGGGCTGATTTTGTCTCTGGTGAATAATTTTTTATTTTAATCAGCCCCTATCGATGACATTAGACCCTAAGATATGAACTATTTTAATTTGACCTCTTACAATGTTCCCAGGGGGGAAAATGCCCACAGTATCACAGCTCCGCCACTGTACTTAACACTGTAGATGATGCGTTTTCATATATATGTTGATCCTTTGCTTTTCACCAAACCCATCCATAATTATCCATCCATTATCTGACACGCTTAATCACCATTCACGCACACACTCACACCTAAGGGGACTTCAGAGAAGCCCATTAGCCTAACAGTTATTGGCAACTAACTGTTTTTGGACTGTGGGAGGAATACGGAGTACCCGGAGAGAACCCACGCATGCTCAGGGAGAACATGCAAACTCCATTCAGAAAGACCCCGGGCTGGGAATCAAACCTGGAGCCTTCTTGCTGTATACTGAGCAGCCCCCATCCATAATTAATTATTAAAAAAGACAGAAGTCCTAACTAAAATCCCAGCAGTTTAGCAAACTACATGCCCTCGGAAGGAAAGGACCTTTTTTAATGATATCCACAAACCACTTGTTAAGTTGTCATTGAGACTTTTTGTTAGCTGCCTTAAACTCAAAAAGTTCATAGAAATTCTAAATTAACTGAAAGAAGGTAATGCTTGAAAAAAGCTTTTGTTACTTTTCTTCTAAAGGGATTGTTGGTGATATTAATGGTATGCATTTGTTGATTTTTTTTTTTTAAAACAGTGATTTTTTAACTCACCATATAAACATACTCAAAGTATTTTTTTTCTTCCAAATTCTCTACAAAACTTGCTGCTACAAAAAACAACTTTTATTACAAAGCTTTTTAAGCATCTTTATCAGGGGTCCCCAACAGTTTCTCTCCATCTATATTATTTACCAATCATTCCTCTACTCTTTGCAAAATGATGTCAGTTATTTGTAGAAAAGCTCGAATGATGATTCTACTTAACATTTGTTTAGCTCAGGCCTGTTTGCTCATACCAGCCCAGCGCAGATTATCCTCCCTACTAAATGATAACTTTAATGCCATGTAGACATAACAAACCTTCTGTATGAACCCCATGTTTACCACCACAGTCAAAACTTCTTTTTTTAAGTCACTGTTGTTCAAATGGCAAAACATGTGAATAAAAGTGTAGATCAGGATCAATTTTTACCCTGCATTTCATCCTTTCAACATAAAAACGAGACAAATGGACCACACAAGAGTTTGCTTTATTGTACGGTTTGACATTTTGTTGATCTCATGCTGACTGATAAGATGAAACTAATCTGTAACGTCTTGATGAATGTTGCATTATTGGTCTATCTTGTACACAAATATATCATTTAAGCAGTTTGTACAGAAGGATGAAAAACACAGCAATTAATCTACACGCTATATATACAGAATACACAATAGGTTGATCTTATGTGATATTCTCTAAAATGGATCAAGCAGACGCTTTGAGGACAGCAGAGTTTAAAACAACTGAGCTTGAAAATAGGAGCTCTTCTATGTTGTGTTTTTGATTTGTTTTCAGGCCTGGTCTAAAGGGAGACCACAAATCTACAGCTACTCTATAACACAGCACTTCTTTTAACAGCGGATGTGAAACTGAGCGTCCCTCAGTTTCAATGGAAGGTTGCAAAGATTTCAGCAGCGGTGAAACGCAGAGATTCTACAGGATGCAGACACTGAATTCTTCTTTCATTTCACTTCAGAAGGAGCTAAAGGAGAGAAGGAAACCACTTCAGGCTGATGAAACTCCCTTTATCATCTCCTTTAATAAGGATGGTTCTAAATTGTTCAAGTGAAGTTCTGTAAAAAAAGTTTTGATCCAGTTGATACCATACCTGCGATAGATAACTTTGTCTCTTTATTTTGTATAAATAAAGACCGACTAGTCCAAGTGGCTAAAGCTAACAGCCAAAGGGGAACCGTTTAAAATAACTTTAGTTTAGCCTTTAAAACATCATGTTTACATTGCACATTAATTTATGCAAAATGTATGTTTACCACAATCAAAGGAACAGCAGAACATATCAAGACATTTCTAAATAAATACAGAAAAAAATATAATAGTTTATAGATGATGATCTTTTTGTTATGCTACTTTATGGTGAATGCTGTCCTCGGTATGCGTTTCCCACATAAACATAACTGGAGACACACTGCCTCCAAACCAGTGCAAATATTGATGGTGAATACAATCATTATGACGGTGTACCGTTAATAAAACGATGATCATGTTTTTTTAGAGTTGTTTCAAGATGAGAGAAGTTTGACTGGACTATATGATGGCTTCAGCCTCCAGGACCGACTAATCTGGATTTATACAGAAGGCAGGTAAGATATTGACTGTGGAAAACCTTCAAACAGAACCTCACTTTAATAAAAAAAAAATGAACCATCCACTCAGAAATACAAGTTTGCTGCTGCGGAACTGAAATCGATTCTCCTCTTTTATTTAGCTTAAAGCAGCCATTTGAAATCCGACTGCGTAGCTTCTGTGTGATTAAAGTTACTGCATTAAACCACTTTAAAGTGTAAATATATTAGGTTTAATAAAGTGCACTAAAATGCTTCTCAGTGAGATGAAATAGGAAAAGCGAAAAGACTTCATCTAGTGCTCTGAATCTAGTCTTAACTCTTTTGATCATATTTTTCCACTATAGCTTCTCCTAATCTTTGTGTGCCTTATGACTTTTCTTTCAAACATAAAAGATAACATACCGTACATATAACATAAAAAAGTCACTAAAATATCATAAAACAGTTCAACTAAAGCTGAAACTTCTATTTTACTTGAACGCGTCATAAAAAAACAAAACAAAACAGTATAATTGAAATTTACAAACTTTGTTCAAACTCATTTAGAAGACTGTAAGGATCATTCAAGTGAAACACGAGGCTGACTGGATGATGCAAAGAGCAGAGTTAGGATAACAGGTCCAAGCAGTGAGCAGGTTGTTTATCCTCCACAGCGGCATGAAATGAAGACGTGCAGAACGGCATTCCTTCGTTCAGACACCACAGCTCCATTTCTTTCCATCAAGGTTAGTACATTAAATCTTGCTGGCGTTGGTGATGCTACTCAGCAATGTCATCATATACATGACTCATTTGGACATTTTAGTAGCTGTTACATGAGGGCTGCAAGCAGGAGTGTTAGATAAGGGTTAGTACTTTGATTTATGCTCTGTTGCAGCGTAATAAAAAAAGAATAAAGCTAAACCAGTAAAATAAAATAAAAAATTCAGACCACTTTTATATGTATATGCCACCTCCCTTTAAAATTGGTTGAGTTCTGGTAGAGCCTTGAAGGCGGAGTTCAAAAAACACCAAACATACCATAAGTTTCCATAAATAAGGCTTCTTTTTTCATAAATAAAACACAAAGGTCCCGACTTCTAGAGTCTTAAATAAAACATCATGTAATCTATAAAGCATTGCCTGTTCTACCTTTTTTTTTTCTTTTTTTTTTTTAAAGGTGCTACTGTTCCTAATTTATAAATATTTTAACATCTAACCCTAATATTTTAAAAAGTGCAATCAAAACAAGTTTTTGCCACTTAAATAACAAACTGGCCTAGTGGTGCATTGAATCAAAGGGAATAAAATCTCCCCCCTTTTCTAGTTTGCACTGAAACTCCATCCTTACCCCCCCTTGTGTTCTGAGAGAAAGGAAGAGAATTCAAGCCTTTACAGACTCTATCAGCAGAGTACAGCTTATCTAGCCACAGGGAACAACAGTGTGGCCAGAACACTGCATGACACAAGACAGAAACATAGAGGTGATTCTAGGAATTTAACAAGAGGACCTGACGTCAATATTTGTCCTAAATCAATAAAGAAATTGCTAGGATTTACATCTACAATATAGAGGGGGTTTCATTTCAACTCTGCTCTGGATCACAATAATAGAAGCTATGCTAATAAAGGTTATTGCAGTCAGGTGGAAATTCTAAATTCAGGTCCCGATCCCCAAACAGAAACCTCTCACCATCAGATGTAAAAGCAGGCCTAAACGAATCTTTTACCCACAGGCAGCATTTTAGCGTTCATGCTCCAAACAGAGAGCAGCCATTCTGGCTCCCAGCAGGGGGAGCTGTGCTCGCAAGCCAGGCGGAGTTATCTTTTGGCTTTGTATGAGGACTTGCTGGCATCACGGGGCTCTTTGCTGGGGTTGCTCCAGTCGTCCGCCTCAGCGCTCGTCTTGTAGTGCCGCCAAGCTGACTTGTTGAAAACAGGGAGGCGCTCAAAGGACTCACTGGACAGAGCCTTGAAATAAAAATAAAAACAACAGACATGCACTGAGACCTGGTCCTGATGTAAATACTGTAGCACAAACTGAAATTATATTTAATTAAAAACATATCAAAACTATATCCCTATATTCTATATCCCTAGAAAAGGGCATGTTTTTATTTCAGGGCATCGACAGGTCACCATTAAGGGTTGCCAGTCTCTCTTATTACTGGGGTCACAAGGTGAAATGTTAAGGAACCTTTAAACTAGACCATTGTTTTGGTAACAGGGGAGCCATTTAATGAATATAATATTTGGATAACTAGTGTTATGAACTAAATTTACAGCTGGTACATATCCAGCTGTAAATTTAGTTCATAACACTAGTTAACTATATATTATATCCATAGGAAAAATCTACTAGTAAGATTTTGTTTTTAATGGAACCATTATTTATCCTGCACTTGCTGCTATTGCACTTCTGGTTAGACCTAAACTGCATTTCGTTGCCTTGTACCTGTACCTGTGTAATGACAATAAAGTTGAATCTAATATAATCTTAATGCAAACTTACTCATTTCTACAGGTGACTGTAAAGAACAAGCTATTTTATACCTGCAAAGTTTTTGGCCAGTAATGATGTGTATTGTTAAAAAGAAAAACTAAATCAATGAAGCTCATAACACCAGAAAAATGTCAAGAAAGGAAATATCTATTGGAGGTTAATTATCAGGGTATGTCTGTTACTGAAAACTGTTACAGAGATTTTACTTCAAATGTTTTAGCCATCTAAAACCACCTCCTGTCATTTAGAGCTGCTAAACAGCAGTTTTGCCTAGAAATGCACTTAACAAAACGGGTCTTCTTCTGATATAACCTTCGCAAACAATTAAGTGGAATTTCAAAATATTATTTGGGGGAAAAAATCATTTAGAAAAGCACTTCTGGGTGAGTAACGTTACCTTCAGATAGATGACAGCATCTGTCCCCACCCCCTCCATGGAGTAGAGCTTCAGGTCCCCCTGAAAATATCGAGCATAGAGCCGGGAAATAGGCAAACCGTAACCAAAACCAGCCTGGAGCAGGAAAGACAGAAAAACATTACTTTAACATATTAATTTCTACACAAAGTGAATTAGCCAAGACAAGTTTTAATAAACCGTACCAATGGGACGGCTCCTGGCTCCAGGCTGGGCGTCGGGGCAGTGGAGTACATGTAGTTGAAGAGACGGTCTATCTTCCTCAGAGGAACTCCTCCTCCTTTATCACTGATCTTAAAACAAACAGACACAAAGAGTTAAGAGATAACAAGACGTGGATATAAAAAGGTCAAGTGTCGCTAAACATTTATGCACAGATTCCCATGTAGGTGCCTTTACCTTTATTGACAGATCCTCTTTTCCCAGAGTGACTCTTGCCTTCACTGGCGGCAGGCCTTCCTTGCTGTTCTCATAAAGCTCCACTGTCGCTCTCATCGAGTTCTGCAAACACCCCCAGAGCCAATAAAATCAGTCCTTACAGTAAAACTAATTACATGTAAAGAGAAGTGATTAGATCAGGGGTCTGCAACCTTTAAAATCCAAAGAGCCATTTTGCCCTGAGTCCAGTCAAAAACTACTTGTTTTTGTTAAACATCTGCTATAATAAATGCTTTTTCATTTATTTTTACTTTAAGGGTTTGAAATGAGGAAATTATCAAATTCATAGATTTTCTTCTACAGGATGTTAATATTTATGTTAAAGAAATACATTGCTTCCAAGGGGATATAAAAATAGAGCTTAAAACATCTTTATTTATGTAATTCTGTAAGGAATATTCAATTCAAAAACGCTTTGGAAAATCTGCTAAACATTGCCTTATGTTTTTACACCTTATCTAAAACCTTTAGTTAATACTTCATCATTTCTATCCAACTTTAGGAGCCATTATAGAGACTTACAGCGAGAGCCAAAAGTGGTATCTGGCATGCCAGTTTTGAAAGATGTTATATGAATGTTGGGAACCAGCTTATGCCCATTGTAAACTGGTTTAAACTGGTTTTTGCTATACGGCAAATGCCGGTTAGCATCTGGCATAGACCAGCTTCCAAATTTCACTTTTGGCTCTAGGTGCTGCTGATTATAGAGGGTCCAAAGAGCCACATCTGGCTCCGGAGCCGCCGGTTGCAGACCTCTGGATTAGATCAGCAGCACCAGCTCACCTTGAAGAGCTCAAACAACATGTGGAACAGATGCGAGGGGACATAGACCACCTGGATGGGCTTCTTCTGAGCTTTCACTGGAACACAAACAGAAAATCAAGTATTTACCGTACACAGAAAACTGGTTCTTTGGAAGTTAATGACATGGTGCAAACTTCAATTGCTATGGAGCTAAATTTAAAACGCCTGCTGTAGTCAAACATCTGCATGGTTCATTAGAGAGGCTGAACGATTAAAGGCACTTACTGTTGAACTCCTCGATCTTTAGCTCGGGAGCAGCTGAGTAGTACTTCTCACACAACATCTTGGCAGTGTCATAGGCATCTAGAAAGAGCAAAAAAAGACAGAGCTTTTGCTGATCATCTATGCTATAATCCAGCAACAATCTTGTATGCTGAAATTATAATTTTTTTCAAACTATTTCTGATCTAGGAGTCTCTTTTAACGATTGAAGAGCCTAATTTCTAAGAAATTTCACACGCTCAGGAAGCAGAGAATCCGATCAGACACACGTTTAAAACAGACGCTGAGAGCGATAACATAGCTGTGGCTCAGGTGGAGCAACAGGTTAGAACAATATTTGACTCTGGCGGTTAGACCTCCGGCCCCTCAGGCAGCACACTGAGCCCAGAAAGAGTAGTTTTGTATACAAAGGAGAGGTTAAAAAGAGTTCTCAACCATGGAGGTGGAGTAATAATGAGTTATGCTACTACCAGCCACCCAGGGAACCTGATAATGACAGAGGGTTGGGGCTTTAGCCAACACTAAAGGCGGCGTCCGTATAGAACCAATAAAAGTCTTCTTTAGATGTGTTTAATTCTAATATTAGGAAACCGGCATTTATAAGATTTAGGTTATCATATCAAAAGAATCAAAGCCTGACAGGAACACAACGTTCAGCTGGTCGTCACATTCCCTTATCTCAGCATCCACGGAAAAACTTTGATAAATACGTCAGGTAATAGTTTACAAGCTTTGCCTCTGGGGCTAACAAGAGAGAAGGAGGTAACTTTAACCCCTGGTAGATGGTTGGGTTGCTTCCCTTTCTGCTGAGCTCTACACCTAATCTTTTCTCCCCTGCTTTTGATAATAGTGTAAGCTTGTCGAGTCATGGTGAGTTAACCTATCAGGAACTCTGCTTAGTGTAAGGCATGTTTTCCAGCCACATCTGGAAGTAGTTTCCAAGAGGTCCACTTTGTTATATTGTCTGCAGCTAAGCTTTTCCTGTAAACAGCTACAGACAAGGAAAACAACAAAACTCTCTATAAGGAGGTAAAAAAAAGACACATTTTAGCAAAATGTGTCAGGTAACTGATGGACATAAAGTTACAGTTGGCAAAAAAAAACTCCTTGTGTAGTAAAAACGATCTTTTCATAAAAAACCAGACAAACAGGTAAAAAAAAAAGATAAAGCACAAACAATAAAGTATTTCAACAACAACAACAAAAAAAAGTTTGTTTCTCTTTAAAAATGTAACGCAACATGGGGTGGAATTAAAAATTAATTTAGACCACAGTCACGATGGAAGCAAAGAAACCACAGGACTTAAACTTACCACTAACAACCTCGGCCACGTTGCAGGTGGGATCGATGCTGCCAATGTGCTTGGGATGGGCCGGGTTGGTGTCGTTACCGAACAGCAGAGCTGAGCACAAACACATGGGAGAAACACAGCTTTAGGCGAGTCGGCGGCTCTGCGGACGTAACGGGGACATACGCCACCGTTGGACATACTGTGCTGGTTGATGAGCATGCGGAAAGAGATGCGGTTGGTGTAAAAGCGGTCGAGAAAATACTGGATGTTGCTGCTGATGAAGGGGTCGAAACCAAACTTCTCCTTGTACTCGATGACCCCCTGAGCCATGGTGGGGACGACGTCGTTGTGGCGGTTTCGGATGTCGATCAAGTTCTCCAGAAAACTAAAGGGAAAGACATTTTTTTTTTACCTTAAAACCAAACTTTGTTATCTTTTATTGTGATTTTATGTCTCCAAAATAAAATTGTCAAGCATGTGCTTCAGTTCTCTGTTTATCTGCCCCTGAGTCAATACTTTCTATAGCATTTCCCTGTAAGCAGCTCCAAGTCTCTGGAGACACATCTGGAGACTGAGATATTGGTCCATTCTTTGCAAGATTTTTCAGCGTTGCTTTAGGTTTGGACTTTGAACCATTTTAACACAGAAGCTTGGGTTTAAACTACTTAACCATCATGTTGGATGTCGATTCTGGTTGCTGTCCTGCAGGGAGATAAAACTCCACTTTAGCAATTACTAACAGGTTTTCTCCTTAACTCTAACCTTTTCTCTGTGTCTGCTAACAAAAAGAAACACAAAAAGTAACCATTATCAATCTTCTCATTGGGGTTAGTAGGGGCTCTATTCAGGAGGATTACACTATTATGTTCCACTTTGTGCAGTTTCTTACATTACTTCAACTACCAATTTCATCCACCCGAGCTTTTGATCTTTGCAGCTTCTCTAGAGTATACACAGGCCTCCTGGCTAATGTCACTTTCATGAAATAGGGAATAACTGAATAAACTGCAGATGGTACCAGAGAAAAGGGGCCTAAATACAAACGCACTAACATATTTTGGACCATTCCTTTCTTCCCAGTTCACATTATCCAGTACTTTGTGTTGCTCTGTTGCTTAAAGTCTCAATCAAATTTGTGGCTGTGATGAAACAAAATCCGCCTACTATGTCTTTACTAGAACAATATCAACCAAATAAAGAAGGAAAAAAAAAAAAAGCCCGGGAAAGGCAAGTATCAACCTAATGTTTCTGCTGAGTCATTGTCAACAAGCTGTTCTTAGAGTCAGGTACACAATGCAGACAGGCCGATCCCTATTCCTGTGTGGGTGTATCAGTGATGCGTGGCCGTTAATAGATGGGATATTGTTGTGATATAAACACTCAGTTATCTACAGCTAACTGCCTCACTGTAACAAACTGTTCGTACTTTCTGTAACCATTACTCATACAGTCAATATTCACTCACTCATTCAGAGTGTGAGGGTCGTCTGCCTTCCTGTTCTCAAAATCCAGCAGTTCCACGAAGCTCTGCATGTACCTGATCAAGTTAGACAGAGAGAAAAAGTCAAATGATATACCCTGGGAATCATAAACTTCATCATCTGACACCGCTACCCCCCCCAAAAAAAAGGAGGAAAACAAAAGATGTTACCACTTCTGGACCAGTCTGACTGAGGGCTGGCTGAGCAGCTTATCGGGTAGCAGGTTGACTTCTCTCATGGTGTTGGCCAGTCGCACCGGCAGCTCCTTACGCAGGAACATGTAGGATGTTTTCTCACATGCATTGTCTCTGCCTGAATAGGGGAAGAAAGAAAGAGATGCATTCCTTATGCTTATCACCAAACAGGGCAAATAGGGGATTATCAGATGTAGAGTCTGCAGAGCGTTTGTGCGCTTAAAACCTCCCGAAAGAGACATATTTTACTATTCATGTAAGACACTGAATCTAAGCTGTATGGAAATGCTCAAACTAATTAGGACCTCAAACAAACTCCGACCAATTAACTGACCACTGACTGAGGCCCAGGAGAGAGTCCTTAAAGAGACAGAAGCCTGTAACCAAAGCTGCAAAGGCACAATCATAGTGGCTGTTTTAAAAGCATGTAAACAAGCTCTGTTTTGCCCCAACTGTTAAACGGTGAACCTGTGAAGAAGCATAATATGGGCTCTTTAAGCACAGCTTCTACCTGCTCTTCTGCTACAGCAGACTGACCCTGTCAAAATGATTAAAGATTACTAATACCGGATTTTCTGGGCTAAAGTGCGCACCTGATTATAAAATGTAGTGGCTGTCCTCACAACATTTTTTGAAGAAACTGGACATGTACATAATAAGCCACACCTGGTTATAAGCCACTGATATCTACGGAACTGTTTCCCACCAAACCTGTAGGGGGAGCTCTACATATCACCCCCTAGAGAAGGGATGAAGAAGAATGCTAGCTCCTGTTAGCTTGTTGACTCACAGCAGTAGGAGCTTATACTAAAAGATGGCGCTTCGTCAGCTCTTTATTTCAGCTCAGCAGGAGTTGGGCCCAGTCTCTTTATTGGTGCAGCAGCTTTAATGCAGCAAATAAATATAAAAATGTTTGAATTAAGGACATTTGTTCTCTGCCGTGCCTGCTGCTAGCATGTTCTTCTGCTAAATAAAAATTGGCCCCTTATTCTTTCATTTCCAACTTCGACGCCTCTGGCAGTTAAGAAAAATCCACAGGAAAGCTGAACCATCTTATAAGCCGCCTAGTTCAATGCGTGGGAAAAAAGTAGCATCGAATATACCAGAAAATACGGTATATGCAGAAAAGAGCACATTTATGTAAATCTGTATTTTCTTGTAAGCATTTCTTGACTTATGAAACATCTAACTTCCAGGTTTCTATCAGCTTTATCTTCTTAGGAAGCTTCTTTTATGAATTTTTAAAATTGATCTAGCATTTTATTTTTCCATACTTAAGAAATATACTGAGATTT